TGCTTTGACTGGAGCCAAAATAACTATTTGGGGGAAAAAATACTAGATACAATCCACCTTGGTCGAGCTTCTTTCTGGTTTAGTTGTAACCATGGTCTAGTTAGACATTGTCTTCCATGGTAGACACACTCGGTGCCCAACGAAGGGACCCAATCAATAAACAACTTTCCCCTAAACCATTATTGAAATAAATCAGAAATAAGATGCCAGCCATCTCCTTATCTAACTGGTGATATGTAGATTTGGCAAATTCTGCCAAAGAAGATAGTACTTGTAAGGAAAGCTCACTAGGTGCTCACACTGTGGGTGGAGAAAGATTTCTCATGCAGAAATCAGGATATATAAAAACAAAAAGTTTATTTTTCTGAGAAAGAGAGAGAGAAAGAGAAAAGAAGGGAGTGACCATGACACACAGCAAGGAAGGAAGTACTGGGCAATTGGGAAAAAGCTGTTTGGAATTTTTAAAGGGTAAAAATGACTTTTTTCCCCTCTGCTTCAGCAGGCTGATAACAGAAGTGCTGGAAAGGTATTGCAGGTGCTCTTTATTTTTTCTCTTTCCTCTGGGAGGCTAGCTAGTCTGAGTCCTTGAAATGTGTTTCTGGTAGGAACCAAGGCAGAAAGCTAAAGAGGAAGTCCACACCCCTACTGTCCACTTAGGGCTCTTCAAGGCTGAGAAAACAAAACTTAAATGAGTTAAGGAACGGGTGTTTTAATTAAAACAAAAAAGGGGGGATAGTTGTGTTGTGAGTTTTCTCTTCCAAGGGGCAACTATGTGCGTGAGTTTATTTCTCTTTCTGTTACTTTATTTTCCTCTGTTAGATAGGTTATTAGTAAGGCCACCTTTTAGTACTCTCCTATGGAACTTATTTAAAAATTACTCACTTTGTACTATAAATTTAAAAGGAACTGAAAATTATAAAATATGTAACTTTTATCTTGAACATAAAGAGCCGTATAATTATAATAGAAAATAAATTTTCCCTGCCCTACCAAAGAAATACTAAAAGTAGAAAAATATTATTTTTAAGGAGTGGAAAATTATTACTCGACCAGGGACCCCACCCGTGTGGTCCAGTGATGGACACATTTGAGGGAACCAGGAATTCCTCATCCCGTTACTGCTTTATGTTCCCCATTTCAGTGAAGGACACCAGGTCTCACAGTTGTCAAAAGATAGAAAATAATCTCTGCCCCTCCTCTTCTACACCCTCTGCAGCCAATCCATAACTGAAGCATTTCTATTCTGTCTCAGAAAGCCTTCTTAATTTGTCCATTTACCCAGGCTTACTCCCAAGACCCTGGTTGTAACCAGAGTTCTTCCTGGCTTGAAACTTATACAACAGTGTCCTGAATTTCTAGCTTCAAGTCTTTGTTTCCTGTAAGTCTATTTTTCATGTTGCAGTCAGATTGATCTCTACAAAATGTAAATCTGATCATATCACTCTTTTACATAAAACACTTCAATGGCTTGCCATTGCCCTCCGGATAAGGTACAGTTTATCAAAGTTTGCAAGCCCCTTGTAAATCATTCCCCTAATTACCTCTTCATACTCTTTTTTTCTCCTCAGCTTTTGTTCCAATTATTCTGAACTACTCTGAGTCCCCAGTCATAGTGTTTTCCTTTGATTCCAAGCCTTGGCACACACTGTTCCCATGCCTAGTACTCACTAAACCTCTCTCTACCAAGGTTGGGAGAGGAGTGTAAATTAAATATACTGTTCCAAGGCTCCAATATTTTACTTAAAGCAATTGAATATTAAAGTATATTGTGATAAAGATGTACAGATGCTCCTCAACTTACAATGGTGTTACATCCCAATAAACCCATCATAAGTTGAAAATATTATGAGTCAATATTTGCATTTAATACACTTAACCTATCAAATATCATATCTTAGCCTACCCTACCTTAAACACACTCAGAACAATTACATTAACCTACAGTTGGGCAAAATCATCTAACACAAGCCTATTTTATAATAAAGTGTTGAATATCTCATATAACTGTTTGAATACTATACTGAAAATGAAAAAAAGAATGGTTGTGTAGGTACTGGATGTACAGTTTCTACTGAATGCATATCACCTTCATACCATCCTAAAGTCAGAAAATTGTAAGTCGACCATCTTAAGTCAGGGACCATCTGTATCCTCTAATCCCTAGAGCAACAAATAACAATAAGATGAAATATAGATTAAAAAGTAAAAAGAGGACTTGAAATACAACATTAAAATTAAAGTTCAAAGAAAATAAAACAAGAAGGAGAAAGGATGGGGGGAAAATGCAAGAGACAAGTAGACACCAAAGAGCAAAAGAGAAAACAACAGAAAGATAGCCTATGAACCAGGCAAACGGTATTTTCTGGGGGGATATTATTGCTGCAAGATAGGGAATCATCAATGTCAAGCAATATTGTCTATATAGAGACTTCTCAGGATCATATTTTATTGCATAGTATCATTTCACCCCCTGCTGCCAGGGAAATGTTTAGCTTCAAGTATGTTTCCAGTGAATTGTGAATAGTGGAACATAATTATTTGAAAATAGTTTCAGCTCTAAATTTAATAATTAGAGACTCTATTTCTCAACATATTAGATAAGAAGAGCAACCAGATGTTAACAGCATGTCTTTAAGATCTTAATGCCAAAATGGAATGAAGCTAGTTGTTTTTTATTGTTATCTTGAACATTCTCCTTTTAGTCATGGATTTCAATATCATTTTTTCTGAAAATTAAAGAATGAACTAAAATGCAATAAACCTAAAAATGTTGCCTCAAAAAATGGCTAAATCCTTCAGGAAGAGTAGGTAAAGAAAAAAAAAAATTAAAAAAAAAATGGTTAAAGATTAGGACTTATTACTAGAGACAAAGATGGACCCTTCTTAAATGATAAAAGATCTATACATCAGAAATCAATCATGTGCTTAATATGAGAGCTTTTACATACATGAAACCAAAACCTACAGAACTTAAGGATAAATAGACAAATTCGCATTCATAGGGTTGCATTTTAGCACATATTTTCAGTAATTGATAGAGTAAATTAAAAAATTAATAAGGATGTAGAGGATCTGAACAACACAATCAACAATATTAACATTTTTTTTTTTTTTTAGACAGAGTCTTGCTTTGTTGCCTGAGTGAGTGCTGTGGTGTCAGCCTAGCTCACAGCAACCTCAAACTCCTGGGCTTAAGCAATTCTGCTGCCTCAGCCTCCCAAGTAGCTGGGACTACAGGCATGCGCCACCATGCCCGGCTAATTTTTTCTACATATATTAGTTGGCCAATTAATTTCTTTCGATTTATAGTAGAGACGGGGTCTCGCTCTTGCTCAGGCTGGTTTCGAACTCCTGACCTCGAGCAATCTGCCTGCCTTGGTCTCCTAGAGTGCTAGGATTACAGGTGTGACCCAACGCACCTGGCCAACAATATTAGCATTAATAATGCTTAGCGACCACTACAACCCCAAAATACAAATACATATCCATTTCAAGTGCACATGGAGTGGTCAGCAAGATTGATCATGTGCTGGTCCAATAAAGCAATCTCAGTAGATTTCAAAAGATTGAAATTTTACATAGTATGTTTTCTTACCACAACAGAATTAAATTAGAAATAAAGAACATAAGATATCTAGAAAAGATCTAAATTTTTGAAAATAAACCAACTAAATCCTAAACCATCCATGGGTCAAAATAAAAAGCACAAAGTAAATTGGAAACTATTTTTGACTGAATAATGTTTTTTAAAAAATCAAAGTTTATCAAATGCAGCTAAGGCAATGCATGAGTGAATGTTGAAGTTTATTAAATACTTTTTTATCTAAAAATATTATTTCAAACTACATAACCTTGAGTAAAATATGGTATACATGAATGAAGTATATTCCTGGGAACCCTGAGTTGAAAAGCACAGCTCACAACACACCTCTTGTTATTCAGTTGGGCAGAAAATTCAGTGTCTGCTTAACTCTCCACATTGAAAACATACTAATTTCCAATGACATTGGGTACCCATTGAACTTCACCTTAACAAGTGCCCTGGATTTGAGTTTGAATATGAAAATCTCTTCCTAATAAAGAAATGGGGAAAATATGAAAATCTCTTCCTAATAAATAAATGGGGAAAAGAAGAAGAAAAAAGAATGACTATGAAAGAATGATAGTTCATTTTTATCAACACATCTTTTCCTTAAAATTACAACTCTTCCATGCCTCAATATTTAACCCAAAATCATAAAGGAGGCATTTTCATCATAGCCATCATGGTACGTTGATTCTGCCTCTTCTCTACAAGAAACACAAAAACGTTATAGAGATATTTTGAGGTTCTTTTTGTTTGCCTCAAATAAGAAAATCCCTTCATAAATCAAAATTCACTGAATTCTGAAAGTGGTATTCCTTAAAATTGAAAAAAATTTAAAAAAAATAGAAAATGTGTATGTGGAAATAAAAATCCCAACAGCTTGAATATAACTTTGTTTTGTATGTTGAACCTAAGGGCTTGCTGTTGAATGAAACTTCCATGAGCTTCATTTTGAATGAAGGATGATATCCCGAACATTAGCAATGCAGACACAGATTCAAACTGAACTGGTTTCCTCTGAGCCATTGACCCCTGTTTCTCTCATTTGAATTCAAAATAGAGCCTTTTGAGTGTGAAATTTATGCTGTTTTGCCTCACAGTCTGTGCCAGACACTGTATTTATCTCTTCATAGTTGTCAAACACTGAAATTATCATGATAACTCTGGGAAGCTACTACTATAATCATCCTGATTATCCCCATTTTACATCCAAGAAAACTGAGGTGCCGAGAGGTAAAACAACTTGACCAAGATCACCTCGCTATAAATGGCAACTCTCAGGTGTAAGCCCAGATCTGATAGAATCCAAACCCAGTGTCCTTTCCATTATACTTGCTGACCTATTTGTGCTCCTTCACCTGTCTATGTCCTCACTCAACTTCTCTTCCTCCCTTCTTTCGCCCCTTCTGTGCAGGCCTGTGACCAAGGTGTAGACTAAGAAGTGGAGTCATGCTTCACACGGCCATATCATGCTGGCAGCCATTCCTGGGTCTGGCTGTGGTGTTAATCTTCATGGGATCCACCATTGGCTGCCCTGCTCGCTGTGAGTGCTCTGCCCAGAACAAGTCTGTCAGCTGCCACAGAAGGCGGTTGATCGCCATCCCAGAGGGCATTCCCATTGAGACCAAAATCTTGGACCTCAGTAAAAACAGGCTGAAAAGCGTCAACCCTGAAGAATTCATATCCTATCCTCTGCTGGAGGAGATAGACTTGAGTGACAACATCATCGCCAATGTGGAGCCAGGAGCATTTAACAATCTCTTTAACCTGCGTTCTCTCCGCCTGAAAGGCAATCGCCTCAAGCTGGTCCCTTTGGGGGTATTCACGGGGCTGTCCAATCTCACCAAGCTTGACATTAGTGAGAATAAGATTGTCATTTTACTAGACTACATGTTCCAAGACCTACATAACCTGAAGTCTCTAGAAGTGGGGGACAATGATTTGGTTTATATCTCTCACAGGGCCTTCAGTGGGCTACTTAGCTTGGAGCAGCTCACCCTGGAGAAATGCAACTTAACAGCAGTACCAACAGAAGCCCTCTCCCACCTGCGCAGCCTCATCAGCCTGCATCTGAAGCATCTCAACATCAACAATATGCCTGTGTATGCCTTTAAAAGACTGTTCCACCTGAAACACCTAGAGATTGACTATTGGCCTTTGCTGGATATGATGCCTGCCAATAGCCTCTATGGTCTCAACCTCACGTCCCTTTCGATCACCAATACCAACCTGTCCACTGTACCCTTCCTTGCCTTTAAACACCTGGTATACCTGACCCACCTTAACCTCTCCTACAATCCCATCAGCACTATTGAAGCAGGCATGTTCTCTGACCTGACCCGCCTTCAGGAGCTTCATATAGTGGGGGCCCAGCTCCGCACCATTGAGCCTCACTCTTTCCAAGGGCTCCACTTCCTACGCGTGCTCAACGTGTCTCAGAACCTGCTGGAAACACTGGAAGAGAATGTGTTCTCCTCCCCTAGGGCTCTGGAGGTCCTGAGCATTAATAACAACCCACTGGCCTGTGACTGCCGTCTCCTCTGGATCTTGCAGCGACAGCCCACCCTACAGTTTGGTGGCCAGCAGCCCATGTGTGCTGGCCCAGACACCATCCGTGAAAGGTCATTCAAGGATTTCCATAGCACTGCCCTTTCTTTTTACTTTACCTGCAAAAAACCCAAAATCCGTGAAAAGAAGTTGCAGCATCTGCTAGTGGATGAAGGGCAGACGGTTCAGCTAGAATGCAGTGCTGATGGAGACCCGCAGCCTGTGATATCCTGGGTGACACCCCGAAGACGTTTCATCACCACTAAGTCCAATGGTAGAGCCACAGTGTTGGGTGATGGCACCTTGGAAATCCGCTTTGCCCAGGATCAAGACAGCGGGATGTATGTTTGCATTGCTAGCAATGCTGCTGGGAATGACACCTTCACAGCCTCCTTAACTGTGAAAGGATTCACTTCAGATCGCTTTCTTTACGCAAACAGGACCCCTATGTACATGACTGACTCCAATGACACCATTTCCAATGGCACCAATGCCAATACTTTTTCCCTGGACCTTAAAACAATACTGGTGTCTACAGCCATGGGCTGTTTCACATTTCTGGGAGTGGTTTTATTTTGTTTTCTTCTCCTTTTTGTGTGGAGCCGAGGGAAAGGCAAGCACAAAAACAGCATTGACCTTGAGTATGTGCCCCGAAAAAACAATGGTGCTGTTGTGGAAGGGGAGGTGGCTGGACCCAGGAGGTTCAACATGAAAATGATCTGAGGGTCCACCACTCACACTACTGTCTCTTTGTCATTGTTGGTTTCAGTAAGACAGTCTGGCACAATAAATTACTAGGTTAGGAGGCAGCTTCGTGCAGCTGCCCCCATATCAAAGCAGGGTTCGTGGAAACAGAAGGACTTCTTGTGGAGACTTTCCATCTAGAGGCAGGCAGACCTGTGTTAGAGTCCTTCACACAGTGGGATACTAATTGTTTGCATTGCAAATATTGGCATTCTGGGGATCTCAGTAATGAACTTGAACCTTTGGCTCATGCTCATGGACAATTATTCAGCATTTTCTACCACTGCAAAAACAAAAGAAAAAATAAAAAAGAACAACCTACAGTGTAGGATTTACATATTAAAAAGACACATTTGTCTAAAACATACTCTACAGAAAAATTTGTATCTATAATTATCATTTGTTAAAGCCTTGCATCATACCATATTGTTGGTTCAGCACCACAAAGAGGTCAATATATTCTTTACTTTTCTTTTTAAAACATATATGCTGTATGTGTTTTAAAGCAATATGAATGAGAGGTTGTGCTTTTAGTTACTCACCACTATAGATCCCAGTGTGATTTCACCTTCCTTTGCCTACAGATAACCCTGAGACTAGATCCCTGGAGTTATGGGAGGAGATATGTTGAGAGGCGTGTTTGTCTGATTTAGGATGCCAAGAAACAGGACCCAAGGCAAAACTGCTCAACTCTGTTAACTTATGTTACTATAAATAAAGGCATGTGCCTAGTTTTGATACAGAATGGAATATTTTTTATACTTGTAATATCACACTGGACCAGTTTACTGTAACAAAGCCCTTGGTTTCTCCAGAAGGTGGTGAGGTGGTGTGCCACTAGATGTACCTATAAAATGCAAGGTAGGTGTTAATAATCAAAATGATCCATTTAACCACCCCTTGATTTTACTTTCATCAGTTGATGCTAATGGGTTAATAGAAAATGGCAAAATAGGTAATGGTTATATATAAGGTAATATTCACCAATAGCTAAGATCAAGAATTCAGATGTTCAAAAGCTCTCTGCATAAGGAGTTGTTCTCAGATGCCAACACAAACCAGGGTGATCTGTGCATAATTAAGGATCTGTTTAAAACATGTTAGCTTCCTCCAGGCTAGATTGCTGCTAGTCAAAGGGAGCATCTAGCTACTGCTACTCTGATGCTCTCTATTCAAATACTGTGCACACAGTATTACCTTGAATAATAGGTAACTTGAATAATAGGCAACTTCGGGATTTCTCCCTGCTTCTTTACCAAGTAGATTTTGGTTTTTATTTTGAAAATTATCTTGGGTAGATAAGAGGAATCTATCTTGTTTTTAAAGTGTAAAGAAACAAGGTGGATCAAAAAACACTGATTTTCTCTGGTAAGGAAAAGTTAGAGCCCTATCAAGACATTAAATCATGCTGATTCTGTTACCCCTCTCACCCAAAGATTCTTGTCCAATTAGTTTGCATTAATGATTATTCCTCAAAGTTGAACATTCTAGTTTTTTTAAAAAATGGTAACATGCCGTTACCACTGGTGATCTGGTTCAAAGGGGGCATATTTCCAGTTGGCTAAATATTGAGTGAATGACTTTGGTCTGAGAAAGTATTGAATATAGACTGTACTCATGATATGTCATATGTTTAATTAACATAGAACAGTTAGGAAATTTCTACACTTTTCACATTTTGAGAGGAACTTGAAAATAGGTTCCCTTTGGGGTAGCATGTAAGCTGGAGTAGAAGGTCTCTGGAATTTGCTTCTTGACATACTAGATTGGGGGTTTGACTTTCAAAAGCTGGCTCTTTTTAGTATTTGAAATTTTGAGGAACTTTTATAAAATTAAATCAACCTAAATAAAAATAATCACAGGCCCAGAAATTGTTTTGCCAATTGGATAGCAACACAGATAAACACATTTCTCCCTTAACAAAGGGAAGAAAGTAAGATGGAAATTGAAGAATTGCCTATTTGTCATTTTTCCTGATGGTTATCACCTATCCTTTAAAAATTCATTCTCTATCTGTGACAATTACTTTATTTATATCAAATAATGCAAATAAAGCTCTGCTGTGTAGACTCTTATAAATCCCACTTGTGTACAAATGGAATGGGGCCTTTCAAATTTTAAAAATGAGTGAAGTGAAAATGGAGAGATAGTCTTCCAAAAGTTAATAAAAACTACTTCATCTTAATTTTGCAGCATTTTATGAAGCAAGTATTTAATTATCAAAAAGAGAGAAATGCTGAGCAATTAATAAAATAATTTTGTGATTCTAACTGCTATGTTCTGTCAAAGTAAATCTTGGCTCAAAACAGCTGAGTAAAATGAAATTGGACTGAAGTTAACTCATCCATGAAAATATTTAGTTAAAGATTTAGTTATTATTCCATTAGATGGACTCTCGGGAGTTTCTATACTCTGATCCATGGAACAATAATTATTTAAGATATTACTAAGAATTCTTTGGAAAAAGAGTCCCACCGACTAATAAATTGGGGAAATGCTTCATTCTATAACCATCTCTTAGAGGTTTGAGATTGGTATGAGCCTAAGGAAACTTCTGAAAAATTCTATAAACAAGAATCCTGCTTAATATTATTTCTGTAAGGGTTTCTCTTATTTGAGTAGAAAACACATCTTATTATGATGTAACTTTTAACATCTTCAAAAACTAGGGTTCCATAGAACCCAGATTGGTCAACATTAGATTAGAGTAGTACTTTTCTGAAGTATTCCTAAACATAGTATTTCTAATAAGAGGAAACTTACTGTTTGAATTGGGCTCCAATAGATTACTAAAAATATATATCACTTGTATAAATATTCAGATTATAAAAGTATATTGACTATTTCCAGGAGAATTGGCTACTTTCTGCCTGAGGCATCCATCTTAGTAATGGATTTATAGATAATTGATTAGACATTTAGTTTTCTACATTCTCACTGTTGGAGCAGATCTTGGATTCCTTTTCATATCTGCAAAGCTCTGGCATTCTATTGACTGTAACTCTGATATTTAAGTAACCAATTTCACAAAGGTATTCACTTGCATGAATTTTCCCTTTTGGCTTCAGATTATCTCTCCGTTAGCTCAAACTGGACCATGATAGAGAATAACAGCTCAAACCAGCACCAAATTATCCGCTTAGGAATGACATCTCTGAGTCATTTTCTTCCAAGAAGGTTTGTTTCAAACTATACAACACAGTTGTTTGTCTCAGCAATTCATTTTGAGTTGACCAGTACTCTCTATATATACACATAAAGCCTTTTCAGAGATGTGTTTATTCTCTCTAGCCATTAAATCTGTATAAGAAAAAATCTATGACTAGTCCTAATGGTCTAAGATAATTGACACATGGTCCCAAATATCTGAAATACATACTACTAAAGTATGATAGCTCACCCAAACGATTTCGTGTAATGTGTTTACACAAACACATTACACAATGTGGTAAGGGATTTCTGCTTTTCCAAATTTTCATATTACCCATTTTTAAGCCACTTTTCATTCTCATTGCATTTATAATTATGGCTTTTCAGATATTCTCAAAGTTTGAAAATATAAACCAAAAATTACCAAGACTCTTACTTCCCAGTTCCTAGCGACATTTGTCAGAACTCTGGTTATGCTCAGTTTTCTCAATAATTTTGCTTATCACCAAACTCCTCACAAAGGCATTTAGGATCTGCTCAACAGTATTTAGAGTAGATTCTTTTTTCATTGTTCTATCAAATATTATGTGCTCCTCAGTTCTCAAAAAAGTCCAGAAGTTACAATCTTCTCTGACTTTTTTTAAAAAGGATTATTCAAATTTCACTTGCATTGAAGCCTGATGTTTGTCACTTTCCATTACTCAAGTAAGAACAAATGTATTTTTATATTAGAAGTACAAAAGAGAGGATGTGATCTTGGAGAAATAAAAGTGAGTAGAGCCCCATGTAAATTAACTTATACTTCCAGGATCTCCCTTCATCTCTGTGTCAAGACATTTGTTTTAACTTCAGCACTGTGCTCAGTTGTTGAACAACACAGAATGTGTCTGGAGGCTTTCTAGCAGAGAAAAAAAGTACATCATTTTCAGCTTAGAAGGCTAAGGCCTAACAAAAAGATATATCAAGAATTTTAAAAAGGTTGGAAGAAGACACTTGATCCATTTTAATTCTATTTTCTTTATTTCTCATTTTTACAGTTATTATTCCCTAACTGAAGAATAATCAGAGATTATGCTCTTCTTTAACTTTGATTGGTGTCTTTTTATCCTTCTTCTCTATGACCTGGTCACCTATAGTTCACATGAGCTATTCCAAATGGGATTTTGTGGCATATGAACCTAGTAACAAAACCTTTGAGGCCAAAACCATTCGTTCTACTCAGTACTTAGGTAACAATTTATCATCTCTATAACTGGAATTAACACTTTCCGTTAGACTAATACATTATGTGCCTGGTTATTTCCATTGACTTTCCATCACTGGCTTTGGGAGCTCCATTCAATTCCTTTCCTCTAAAACACTTGATATTTTTTGATTGAGGGGTTTTGGAGTTACTCTGCCTTTATGTGAAGATAGCCTTGAAAAATGAAATATTATTTGACTTATTAATTTTGGAATTTTTTATTTTGGTTAGGCAACAAAAGGCATTTCCTGGTACTTTAGCAAACACTTGACAGAAATCTTTCCATGACACTATCCTTTACTCCTTCAAAAGCCATTCCTAAAAGAGCCTTCTCGTTTACACTCCAGCAAATGAATACTGGGAAAGGACAACTTCACAACATACGACTACAGGATGCAATGATAGCTGATTGCTGTGATTGTTAGTTCAATATACCTTTTAAACACCAGATTCAGGAGCCGTAGTCTAGGCATGCAAGGTTTAGCCAAGTAAACTATGTTTTAAATGAGCAATTAATGACAGGTTTGCCATCTGAAGTTGGTTTGTCTGTTTGGGGAAAAGTAAATGTAGGTTCATGTTTTCTCAAAAAATAGTAGGGACTGGAAACTCCTTATTCTATGTGAGCTTTTCAAAAGATGGCTTATGATAAGATATTTGTAACGACAACAACAAAAGACGTGATTGAGATGTTTGTAAAAGGTTTATTTTTCTAAAATAGGACTAGAGGTGATCTCCCTTTTTCTGTATGTGGGAATTTGATCAGGACAAGCTTGCACGTGCCCCAGACTGCCCTGCTCCTTTCACCCAGGTCTTGGATACCTCTTCTCCCTCCCCCTACCCCCAGTCTCCCAGGAGAATATCATGGATAGGAAGGAGGAAAAGAGCAGGGACTAACCTCCCTGGGACAGCCCATGGAGAGAGGAAAGCTTTGGTTTCCCCCACATTCCTTCCTTCCTTCTTGCTGCCTTGATTTGATTGATCCTTCTTTTTCTTTGTCTGCTCGCTCCTGTCTGTCCCCGCTGGTTTTCTTTCTGCTTCCTGATTGCTTTTCTCTGGGGTGATTCTTCTTTTTTTATTTGTTCTCAGTTCTTGTTTGGTTGTTGTTCTGGTGGTTGTTTTTTTAAAAAAAAACAAAAAACACCCTCCAGCCTATCTCACATAACACTTTAAAAGTTAAGACTTACCATTCACATAATCACAAGCTGACAGCAATCTGCAGGCTGAGTGATTCTGATTTTTTTCCCCCTCTCTCTTCCAGAAGCAGGTGGGTTGATATAATGCCAGTCTTAAATAGAAAGCTTCATTTATAGCCTTAGCAGAATGAGAAAAGAGCTGGCATAATCAAGA